ATTGACAAGGAGCTTTTTCTTCCTTTAGAAGGTGCTAGAATTTCTTTAAGATTTTTTGGTCTAAGAAAAGATGAAATATTTATAATGGAATTTGCTTGAAAAAGCTCTTCAAATTTGGGAGACGACTGCAAAACGGAAAAGTGTTTCTTAATTAACCTGTTGATTGACGGTAAATTAGGATTAAATGTGAGCACGAAAGGAAAAAGTTTCTTGGAATAGAGGAGTTCCCCGAGGGGGGGGGGTACTCGCAGAAAAATTGGGTAGGGGTGTGCGGCCCGCTTCCCAAAACCCTTACCCTATTTATGACCAAAATCTGCGATTTTCCCTACCCTATTTATGACCTAACCAAAAATTTGATACCCTATTTATGACCTGACCCTTAAATCAATACCCTGTTTCAGACCTGCCTTATAAATATTTCCCTAGTTCAGACCAATGTTAAAGGCAATGTTTATCTGCTTTTATTAGGTTAGGGGGACATGATAAGGAAATAGCTTCTTCTAAAAAAGTGCATTCAAGACTACAGTGCAAAAATCGTTTCCCTATTTATAACCAAAATGGCGGCAAAATAGCCAAAATCGATACCCAATTTATGACCAAAACTGCTGAAAAACCCTACCCTTTGGAGCCGCACATACCCATATAGCCCATATTAGGGAGTACCCCCCCCCCGGGAGGAGTTCACGCTCATAGTTGCATCTAACCTCAGATCAGGCCCAATTTTAGCGGTTCTCATACATTCTCTCTAACGGCTACCTCACGTTTGTGCTCGTTACGGCCAGATTTTGGCCGGAACGAAGCGGAAGTTTAAAGTGCTTATTCCTCTCGTGGTTCTTCGTGAATGATCCGCCGTCGGCGGAGAGAAGGATCGATTTTGCTGTCTTTTCTGTTGTTTTATGGTCTCATGGAAGGTAAATATGCCTTAATATGTGCCACGGAAATTCAGAAAATTCATATGGTTGTTCATATCTTCTCAGGATTTGCTTCATTTTCGGAACTAATGTGAGTGTATCGCGGAGTTGAATCCCTCTGCAAGTTGTTGACCGCTGACAACATGCCTTTTTATTTACCAACAAACGAGTGCAAATCAAAATCTCTCCGTCTTAAAACTGGTTTCATTTGAAAGTTTAGCCGGGAATGACTTCTCTGAAGGGGGTACGCAAGTGGAGGCTCACTGCGAAAGAAACCTCACAGCAGAGGGAGACAGGGGGTCTACGCAGTGGTGAAGGTGGTGGAGTTGACGTCACAATAGCTCAGGGGATTAAAATGATGAGATGATCACCTAAAAATAGAAAGGTATTCTGTATAACAATCTAGGGAGTTGAAGTCATCAAAAAAAAAAAGATGAGATCATCATAAAAAATAATCATTTAATATGGTAACTAGTGCGATGACATCATCAGCTAAAATTGGAGAGGGTTTTTTGACATGCTCAGCTATTTTCTATAGTCTATGACATCATTATTTATTTTTATCTTTTTAAGACCATATAAATGAAGATTATTTTTATTGATTATTATTGTCATCCAAAACAAAAATGGGTATTATTCAGTCTTTCATAAGAATAAAGTTTAATCATTATCGTATGATCGTGAGGACCATAGTTCCCCCCCTCAAAAGAAATATCGTCTCTAAAGAAAACATTTTGCGACCTCCCAGGGTCAACAATTTCCAAGCTGAAAGAGCTCCATTCTGAAGTATTTCTAAAAGTTAATTTGGGCAGACTCTTGGTGTTGGCAGGAAAAATTGCATACTAGAAAAACAAGCAACGGAAGTAATTTTGGTTGGCTGATTGGGCAAATGTCAGTCAATCAAAAAAGAGGCCGGAAGACGTTTCGAAGAAGGTTTGTATCAGGCACGGTTTTCGTTTCGCCTTGCTCGCCGGAATGTTATTCCAAAGCGAAACGAAAATTGAGCCTGATCTCAGGTTAAGTTGCATCATGGGTAATCAGGGCAAGATGACAGGAAATTCGAAGATTTGTATTAGAATTCAAAGCCAGCTAATTCTTCCTGAATTCATATATCAAGAGCCATAATGGGCTCTTGACATATTTGATGCTTTCCCTTTGGATTAAAGAGCAACTTACGAGTTCAAAGAAAAAATACACTAAATATGAAGTGCAAAGACATCGGTGATCAGTTTTTAGAAAACCTCAATTTTTCCATACATTTTCTGTAATTTTGATACTGTCGAATTACGCTGAGAAAATTTATGGGAAAATCAAGGTTTTCTAAAAGCTGATCACGGACTTCTTTGCACTCCAGATTTAGTGTATTGTTTCTTTGAACTCGTAAGTTACTCTTTCCAAAGAGAAAGCATCAAATATATGAATTCAGGGAGAAATAGCGGGCTTTGAATTCTGATACAAATCTTCTAATTTCCCGCCATCTTGCCCTGATTACCCATGAGGCAACTATGAGCGTGAACTCCTCTATTCTTAGTTTTAGGCGTAAGTAATTCAATTCTAGGGATTTGGGCTGCTTTCGAAAATCCCCGGGAAACTAAGCTAGCTGAATAACCTAAGTCCACTAAGTGACCACTATATTCTTGTAGTCTCTTAGTAAGGAAAGTGTCTCCAGAACAATTTCTACGTAGTCTTGAGGCTACCCCGAAAGGGATGGCCCTAAAAACATGCTTAGGCTGGGCACTGGAGGCGTAAAAATCAAGAAGGCACTTTGGAGAAAATTAGAACCCATCCTCAGCCGTAATAGGGACCTTAAGATACGAGGACGGGGAGCCAGTACGACGACAGGGCTGGATGAGTAAGACTAGGTCGAGCCCCATCAAGCCTGCCAAAAACAAAAAACTTAAGAGCAAGCAACTTTCACTTGGGACGGCAACGGCGATATTTCTTTCACAAACAAATTTTTCGACCTTTAAAGACGTTAGGACCTTTCTTCTGGAGAGCTACTCAGACGATGTGATAGACGACGAAGAGAACCAAGAACCCGGAATTTTCATATGAATTTTTTTTATTATTTTTTTATTTGCATTCATGACATCAAAATACAAGAATACGGAATCAACACACTAAATTTCCCTAGTGCCACTTCAATGCTGCTCAAGTTGGTTCCAATTCCCGGCACTTACTTTTTTTTTCCTTTTTCGATTTGCTTCTCAGTTCTCTCGCGAGAAGGTTGAAGCGATCTCGAACTGCCCTTTTGTCAACTTTGAAATAAACAGCTTCAATTCAGTTCATGTTTTCAGCGACCTCTTCCCATTTCTTTCCTCTCGCAACTGTGTCCTTTTTTGTTCCAGTTAAGGGATCAACAACCATGATTTGCCGATACAACATTTCGTCGTGAAGAGAGAACTCCATGACATTAGCTTCCTAAAAAAATTAGAATCCAGTTCAAATGGAGCCTTTATAAGTTAAAAATGAAATTGCTTTTCAAATGAGCAAAAGGTAAACACCCGCCGACTGTAAGCAGGTACGAGTCAAAGTAACCTTCACTGTACTTTTTTTTAACTCGATTATTACTCCACTGTAACTGGATCTATTTTAACTTCACTTACACTGAATTACTTTTCTTCACTGGGCACTCAGCTGACTCAGGAACATCAGCGTTTCTGAAAAGGGGATCGATTATGTCTTATTGCAGGTAAAAACAAGCTGAGAAATACTCACGTTTTCGAGACGACGGCAAAACAGGCTGAATGGCGTCCTCGGACGGCAAGAACGAGAGTTTGGGCTTCGTGTGCGCATGCCTCGTTGTGCAATTTTACTTCCGGTACCCGTCGTAGCTTGTCCCGTCCTCGTCTCTTAAGCAAGGTCCCTAATAAAAAGCTTTACGCTTCATAAAAGGTCAAAGAAAACGCGTTTACATCAGAGGGCAAATCCTGGCGAAAATAACCACAGTAAATCGATTTGTGTCATGACCTCTCAGTGTGAAACATGCGGCTAAAATCACATTTGCTCAGTAAAAATGTAGACGAACCTTCCAGAGCATAATCTACCCAGCAGAGAAAAAAACGTTATTGGAACGAGCAGCATTTTGGCATGAGGCAAAAGTCGTGCAGGCGTACCACCCCCTTTTTTTGCCTACCGACCCCTTAATTTTTGCACACACTAAAATGTAGAACCCCGATCCCGAACTCGGATTACTCGAATTCCCCTCTAACTTGAACTAAATTTCCTTTCCCTCGATCAAAATTTCACTGAAATTTACCGCCATTACTCGAATTTCCCCCTAACTCGAACTGTTTTTTGTTCCCCAACAAAGTTCGATTTACCCGGGTTCTACTTTGTTTTATTTATTTACTTTTTTTAACTGAAACAGGTGAGTGATCGCTTTAAGTTGAAAAAAGAGAAGGTTTCTGAAATAGCGTAGACTACATTCACTGTGCTTTTTTTATTTTGTTCTCTGCAAAACAGGAGACTTACCTTTGATGTAATGATATTTAGCATTCGCAGACCCTAGTATTTTATTTCTCACACAAAGTCTCAACGGCCGCTTGTAACGCGACACCGACTCTCTTCAGTGAGAAAGTAAATTTACATAACACTTTCTTAACGTGACCTTGGCATGCCTGTGTTACCACAAGCATCCAACTGGAGCCGATTTGCTTCAGTGAATAAAACAGATCTCAGACACAACTTTTACATGTTAAAAAAGCCCAAGATTAAAGCCATAAATATTAAAGAAACAACCACTCCCACATAAGGTACACTGTATTGTATACGCGCCGCACATCTCCTTTCGATTCTCTCGCGTGACGCAAAGTTCTTCGTTACGATTGGTTCGGTACAGTCCAATACGGAAACAGTCTCATCGAGGCAAAGATAGCCAACCAGAGAGCCGCTTTGGAGTGGTGCTGGTCAACTGTCGATCTTCATAGATAAGTCGGGAGGTCAGGATAATCTCCCGGATAACCACTTGTACATCTCGAAGCAAACAAATAAGTGGAAATATGTATTGCGTGACACTGACATGTGATATACCACTTCCTCAAAACAATTACATGCTGGGAAATTTCCCTTTCCCACCATGCTTTGTCAGCACATTCCACGCTGTTTGCAGGTTTTCTTCTCCTCGAGACGCCAGGTGAGTAAAGTAAAATCATCGTCAGTAAAAACTGGTAATTATTATTTTGTTCTTTCTGTCCATATTTTCCTTTACATGTTGTGTCGTTGGAGTCATTCGCTTAATGCTTCGGTTTAATTCCTGAATGTATTGTGATGTCAAGCAAAAAACAAGCGTTCTCGAAAGCAAGATTTGATACTGGGTCGCCTTTAAAGTTTTTAAATAACTCGATCATTCCTTTTTCAGGAGGCAAGTTGATGTTCTGAAGTCAGAGGTCTGTGGTCATCGACAGATCGAGGACAGGCGACTGCAGTTCGACGACAATTCCTCAGTAGCAACAACAAGTCGAGATACGAAATAAGGTAATTGATCTAAAGGCGGAAGTTGCAATGTAGGCTATCGAAAAATGCGGGTGAGGGCAAAACATGAACCAGGGGTCCATGGACCCCCACTTTGGACCAGGTCCATGGACCACCTTCATGGCCCGGCTCCATGGACACTTTGTCATTGAGACAAATGACTGGCACAAGGAAATAGAGGAATTGGGTTTAAGTATGTTTCCGTTTTCAGCATGTTCAGTTTTCAGCTTTGAAAATTATTTATAAGTCAGTCAAAACAAAAGGGGTGTCTTTTATCGGTGTTTGACATTTGCAGACTGCAGACTGCAGACCGCAGACTGCAGACTGCAGACTGCAGACTGCAGATCGCAGACTGCAGACCGCAGACCGCAGACTGCAGACCACAGATTGCAGATAGTAAATTAAAAGACACCAAAAATCTTCCTAATAAAGGTGACACCATCAAAAATATAACATCGTGTGAAAGAGAGAAAGTAGCCTGGGAACAAAGATTGAAAAACCTGCACAGCGTAGTACTTAATGTTAATTTATTGTAAAACTCACACTGTTATTATAAGAATCTTAACCGACGTTTTGGCAATGCTGCCTTCTTCAGGGTATACAAGGTTGAGCAATAATTGGCCTGTTAAAAAAGCCATTGTTGATTTGCCTATTTAGAAATTCAAAATGCACCTCCGGTAATATTAATTTGTCGAGTCCTGGTAGGATCTGTTTGGTTTAGATTATTTGGCATATCCTTAAATACTGCTAAGATGAAATACGTCATTTAAAAGGTGTTAAATGTCCGTGATCTATCCTACTTGTTTTTGTCGACGTAACTGTAGTGAGCACGAAGAGCTCGCAATCTAAACACTTTTTTGACAGAAGACTACTATTTAGACAGGCATTAGTGGGCATTGCCACTTGTCATTATCAAACTCACAATAATCAAAGAAGAATAAAGAATCAACGCGATTAGTGATATGCCGGGTGAGTCAATAAAGAGTCGCATCAGTGAAGAATAGCCAACAGCATCTTTGAAATGAGGCCAATGCAACTTTGCGCAAAAATATCAACCCTGTTCCAGGCTACTTTCAGCTCCTGCTTTCACCATCCGCTCCTGCTTTCACAAGATGTTATATTTTTGATGGTGTCACCTTTATTAGGAAGATTTTTGGTGTCTTTTAATTTACAATCTGCAGTCTGTGGTCTGCAGTCTGCGGTCTGCAGTCTGCGGTCTGCAGTCTGCAAATGTCATACACCGTTCTTTTATAAAACATATGCAACCCTTAATTTAAGAGTGAGGATCTCTTATATCATTGCAATTAATTTTGTTATAAATGTTCTGTTGATATTGCTTCTGTTTTTTAAAATGGAAAATAGTGCCTAAGAAGAAAAAAGTAGTCATTAAAATCAAAGCATTGTTTTGTTTGTTGATTATAAATATACCGTGTAATTCAAGCCAAGTCAATTTGTATCAGTTTAATTTGTTTTAATCCGGGCAGAGGTACATATCAGATGTTTGGAAGCCCAAAGTCCATGCAGGGAATTGCTAGAGCACATGCAGTCATTTGATATATATCTCTCATTTTCAAATCTGTCTTTTGATGCTGTATCACCGTGCTGCTCTAGAAATACCGTATTTATTCGAATAAGCGCCCAACTTCGAACTAGCGCCCACCTCGAATAGGCGCCCATCCTAAAGGCAGAAAAAGTTAATAGGCGCCCAGCCTCGAATAAGCGCCCACCCCCACCCCACCCCACCTCCCTCCCAAACTCAAATAAGCACCCACTCCCTTCCCGCTACCACCCCCAAAAAGGAATAAGTACTAATAAGAGACTTCCCCGAAGACAGAGTTTTCTTCAGACTGTTTGCCAGAAACCTTGCTTTGTTACATCTTCGCACTTTGGTAACCATTTACTATTTTTTTTTCAAAATATACATACTACACTTGTTGAAAATGGTGAAAACTTAATAAGAGCCCAGCCCCAAATAAGCGCCCACCTCGAATAAGCGTCCACTCTCAAGGTCCAAAAATTTAATAAGCGCCCCGAGGGCGGTTAATCGAATAAATACGGTACCTTGCATATGGCCCTTGGGCTTCCAAACTCCTCATTTGTTTCCTGTGGACTTAATAATAAGGTATGCCATATTGACATCCTAGAGTTTCATCACCCAAATAGTCCACAATCGTACCATCGTGAACCATTGCCTTGTAAGTTTCTTTCAAAAGAAAATATATAATATACTGAGATTTAGGACAGGCATTGAGTACAAAGCTGCCTCTCCTAGGGCGAAGTTTCCTTAAAAACCCTGATGAACGGGAAAATTTTTTAACAAGAATATACAATGAGAAAAAAGGATAGTTGGGTTTTCATTTAGTTTAATCTGTTATTTTATTGACACATGGGGAAATTTCTACATATTGCAGGAGTTATTTAAATCTTAATTAGCCTGAGAAAACAGCTGACATTTGGTGACGCTACCACTGGTTTCCCCGCCAAATGATGTCTGAGAAACGAGCGCAGAAATTCCATACTGATGACGCGTCACTACCCAGATCTGGGTAGTGCCTCTGATTGGTTGAATCAAATTTCCCATGCAGCACGACCAGTCAGAAGCACTACCCAGATCTGGGTAGTGACGTGTCTTAAGTATGGAATTTCTGCGCTCGTTTCTCTGGCGTCCTTTCGTGGGGAAACCAGTGGTAGCATCGCCAAATGTGGGCTGTTTTCTCAGGCTATTTCTTAATTGCGCTAAAGAATTAAAAAGTGATGGGGTCATGATTCAGAACGAAAGTCCATTTAATTGTGCTACAAGAAAACAGCAAAAATAAGTAATCTCTGGGTTGAAAGCATAATTGTGCCAGCAGTCTGTACTTCAAAGGATGGCAAAATGTGCAAGCAGAGTGTACGTCGTATAAGCACAATTACTGTAAATGCTCAAATTGACGCCCCGGGCGCTTATTTAATTTGCTTATTTGAAGGGGGCGCTTATTTCGATTATCAATTTTTCGCCTCAAAATGACACCATCTTTTCTCTCTAACATATATATTAGGCGATATTTCTATCAAGGAAACGAGAAGCAAACCCGTACGACTTTGAAGAACATTTAAATTTTCAACTATTACAAATGTCATATTCATTAAAAGTACCGTATACGTCTCGTATATCGTGCCGAGTACTGAACCTCGTTTTTTCTCGGGGGAGGGGTGGGGGGCGCTTATTTGAAAGGGGCGCCGATTCCAAATTTTAAGCCTTAGGAGGGGTGCTAATTCCAAGCGGGGCGCTTATTTGAATTTGGGGACTAATTCGAGCATTAATGGTAAATATTACTGATCAATCGGGCATTTTAGTTGTTGTTGATGTTTTGTTTTTAATCTTATTTTTGCACTATTTTTGTTTTTGTTCATTTCTCATTATGTTGAATAAAGAGTGTCCATGGACCCGGTCCAAAACTTTTCCACAAAAATAAAAAAGTGTCCATGGACGCGGCTCATGACAGGGCGTCCATGGACCCGGTCCATGAAAGTGGTCAATGGACCCAGTCCAAAGTGGGGGTCTGTTTTTATTGATTATAAGCGTGGCTCTTCTTTCCATGCAGGTTTTTGAAATAACCAAACTGGCGGCTACATATATCATCACAGCTTTCAAAAAACAATCTATCAAAGACAAAGGGAAAATATTTGTGGATCTACTGATTTTAACTTCAAAGTTACACATCATAATCGTGATTTCGAACATGGGCGGATATCAACTCTCCAGTAATGATCTAAAGAGTGTACCGTCCAAGTACATTTGCAAGCAGTGTGGCTTTGTACTACGCGAACCTATGCAAACGCCATGTGCTCACTTTTACTGCAGATCCTGTTTAGAAGACCTCAAAAGGTAATTACTTTTTGTTTGCGTAAAGGTATATCAAATAAGTGGGTAAGCGGAACATAAATAAAGAAACAGAGAGATAAATAAATAATAAAAACGTCAATTAACAGAAAAAAGCTATTTGAATTGAACTTGAAGCTCACCGGGGAACTGAGTGAACAAAGATGAAGACAGAAGTAGGGAGAGTAGGGTTGGTGAAGCAGGGCCTGACCGACGCGCTCTCTTGTCCGCCATCGGATAGTTCATCCGTAAATCTCGTGAAACCAAAACTATATCCTCTTGCGTGAGCTTTCAAGATCAAAAGGCCTGTTTACATGGAGGTGAGAGACCCCAGATAGGTGAGGTAACATGTGGCGGGTCACCCCACCGATCATGTAAACGTGATCAAATTAAAATGAGAGATTATATGGACAGGCAGGTTACTCCACCCAAGCGGGTTACCTCACCTAACTGGGGTCCCCCACCTCTATGTAAACAGGCCCTAATTCCACGCTAAATACCTTCGCTTTGTTTAAACAATCATCACAATGCGAGTTTACATTCTACTTAGGCAATTCCGCTGAACATTGTGTATCCGAACGGAGAAGTAGAAGTATATAAACCACTACCGTATCTTAGTGTCCTGCTTGAAACTATATATGAATGAATAAATTTCTTGCCAAAAATTTCGGACGTTTAATTTTCGGACATATTATCTCTTGATGTTTGACGAATTTCGGAAATCTTTGCAGTTTTGCTGATTTATTACTATGAATTAATATGCAAGAATTATCACTGAAAAATATCGGTGTTTAGATATCAGACTTTTTGTCAACGGGAAAATAATTTAGGGCCTACAAAACATCAATTAAAATGAAGCAAAAACTGTGAAAAAAAATATGACAAGCGCTATCAACGTTTTACAGATACAGTCAATCAACCCCTTATACCCCGGAGTGCTGGTGGCTTTAATAAAAGAAACAAAAATTTTCTTTGTAGAGATAAAAAAGAATAAACAACATAATTTATAGTTTTATACAACGGTGTCGCCCAAGAAAGTGCTTTGATTTTTCTTTTAAACCGTCTATAGTTTTTGAACGGTCAAAATTACAGACGCTTGAAAAATTCGGATGGTTTAATTTTTGGAGGTGACCAGTACCGCCCTTCTGCGGAAAACGTCGGAACAATTTTCGCAAGAAATGTTATTGCGCCAGCGAGTACTCCTTTGACCTAGCTACCCCTGTTATCGCTCGAATTTTTCTGCCCCATTCATTTTTCAGCGGGGACAAGACTTATAAATGTAAAGATGACAGTGAAGAGTTTCCCCTTTCTGAGGTAAGATACTGAATTGTCTGTGATCAGTTACCAGGCAATTTTTACATTTCATACCTCCTTGTAAACGTTTTTTTTTTTTCTTAATTTGAATTTTGGCAGTGCAAGCCTATCAGGAGTTCATAATGTAGGCTACATATATTTCCATTGATAGATATTCAATTTCGCGACTTTAAAGAACAGATAAAGTTGTTTAGTTTCATTTTGATCACGAGCCAGTACCGGCAATATCAGAAAATAGGTGCAGTTGAGCGAATCATCTTTATCTCGTCATGGGATTGCCGTTCCACTGATAAATCTTTACCGTCTCTTTGGAAAGGGCAGGTTTACAATCGAGTTTTTTTAGCGCGTACTCCGCTAGATAAAGTTTTACTCAGTATATAGTGTTATCCACCTTTTTAACAAGTTTGGGGCATGTTTGTCCGATAGTAGCCAATAAGAATGGCATTGATAACGATGACGATGATAATGATTCCTGAGATGATGATGATGATGATGACGTTGTGTAGACCGTGGTGATGTCAATTAACGCACAAGCGACGAAAAAGAAAAAAAAATCATCAGATTAAGATACCAAATTGATTTTTGATTTTGTAGGTGTTTCATGATCGTTGGGTCAGAAACGAAATCCGGGACCTAATCGTCCACTGCTTATATGAGGACTGCGGTTGTGATTGGGAAGGGAAAATAACCGCTCTGGAGGTGAGTGACGGATTAGCAGTTTGGAGATGAAAATCTCTTTTCTGGAAAACCAGCTGTGATTTGATACCCACCTCCTCTATTGGGAAAGTTGACCTTTCAACTCTTGTAAATATTTAGATGTTTTTTTTAGGCTTTGTAACAAATTTTGTAAATAATTATATAATCTACACGCAATTTTAAATTTTTATGTTTTAGTCATTTGTATCTGGTATTTAACTTATTATTTTACAGTGTCCTCCATTAGCATTTAGCTAAAAACATAGAAACTTAAAGGTTTCACCTGATTCATTTATTCATTCATTCCTCCTTTTTTGATACCTGAAGGCAGTTTACGAATTAAGCTACTTCTCGTCACAGAGGACGTTTCGTAAGAGAAACGAAAATAGTTACTCAAGAAGTTTTCTAAGGAAAGAACTGGAACCATCCGCCATCTTCGATCCACCATATTGAATTTATTAAATTTCGGTTACGTTCATTTTTAACCCGTCCCGTATAAATCGAGGTAATTGAAAACTTTGCAACTTTATCTGCCATTCAGTAATTCTGAATTCATGTTTTTTTTCGCAACCTTGAGTGCTAGATTACATTAAAAGTTATCCTGAATTTGGTAAAATAAATGCTAAATTAAGTGTAATATAATGATTGAATAAGAGAAAAACAGGAATAATCCTTTAAAAAAAAAATCGAAAATCACGGATGTCAAGACTCGGTTACCATGGTAACGTCAATGTTGATGTACACCTCACTATGATTTGGCGGTCATAGATTGAACGGTTTTGAGGTTATTCAACCTTAAAGCTAGGGGAGCCTCAAAAGCGCCCTCCCGTGTGGATAGGGTTTATCCACCCCTGACGACAAACTTAACAAAGAACGTTTGAGGCTCGAAATTGTACCACTATATAACTATACAATTCTTAACCTTTTTTTTTTTTCATTAAATCACTTAGGACCACTCTTCCCGTTGTGACTTTGTAGAGATACCGTGTTTGTTTGAAAAATGTCAAACAAAAGTACTAAAGTCAAGGTTAGCTGAACATCTGGAAAACGAATGTAGCCAAAGGAGTGTGAAGTGTGAGCACTGCAAACAAGAAATGCATTTTGCTGAACTGGAGGTAAAAACTTTTGACACATTAGATAGACAGTGGAATACTTTCTGATTACTCCATGAGATATGAAGGAAATCGAATGGCATCCCTCGATACAATCAGAGATCAGGAACGGAAGAACTTGTGGTGAGATGTTTTTGATGTATGAAATGCAGAAGAAACTTTCAATGATTACCACCATTTCAACGTGGTCTACATCCGAGCAAACCGAAGGTCTAGCCGTCTGCCCGCGAAAGGCAGCACCTTAATAATTAGTTTAAGACTCTTCGTCAGTTAGTTAGGCCCCGGGTGTTGAAACCGCGATATTCCGATTTGCAAGCCAGCACTCTACCGAACTTACGAGATTTGCCGCGAAAGTGAATTTGTCATGCTTTTTTTTTTTTTCTCCTTTTACAATATCCCTCGCAGAAAGACAGTAATTCAATTTAAATCTGTCATCTGTGGCAATTAACCGAAACAAGATCCGTTTTAACTTCATGTTTACGATTTATTTGCTTGTGTGATTTTGACAGGATCATGTTGCCAATGATTGCCAGTCGTTTGCCATTGACTGCACTCTGTGCGACAAGAAAGGCATTCTTCGAGGGAAGCTAAAAGATCATCAGGATGCAGAATTTGGAGACTGCGAAGGCACCAAAGCAGTCTGCCCTTTTGGAATACTCGGCTGTGAAACAAGAGAGGTAATGGGCGAGTATTGTAGTGTGTTCAGTATCTTATTTTTTTCTTCAAAGCTGAGGCTGATTATGAAGCTTTTATTTCGAATGTAACAACTACACTGTATGTCCAGTGAAGTGAATAACTCGATATATTTATGTTGCGTTTGCCTGTCAGCAATAATGGAGGGTTCTACCTCGAGGTAGGATTTCGGTTATACATATGTAAAATCGGAAAGTTCTCTACCACTCAGTTTCAGTAATCAAGATCAATTTAATGTGCTCTGACTACTTTCTATACGGGATTATTCTGAGTTCCTTTGATTTCTGTTTTAATTTTCTGTTGTCTTTGTTTCTGTTGTCTAAGCGCGGATACTAGAAGTCACTGTGTGACCACCTGTTATTGTAAATAATCTACCTGTATTTTTTCAGTAAACTAGCAAATTTACCGTGGCTGTGCTTTCTGGCTCTTTTGCAGGAGTTAAGACGAACTGAAAGGAGACGCCACGAACAAACCTTGGTGTCATATCACCTTGCACTTCTGTTTCGCTTTGTACTTACATTAAGAGACCAAGTTGGCAGCTATGTTAACGAGGTAAGTCCTTTAAGGGAAGGCGTCACAGTCGTAGATAGACTGAAGTCAACAGTCGGTCAGCTTCTGTCCCAAGTTACATTAGTGGTTCGTGAAAATGGGAATATCCAAGAGGAAGTAGATAACTTGAGGACGCAACTGGCGCGAGTGGAAGAAAACCTAGTGGAGCCGGATTCTGCTGCTAGTGGACCGGGTCACTCCTTGCAAGTGCAGTATCAGCAAATAACTGCAATGCTAGCTGATTTTAAGCGTCAGCTAAGTAACATGGAAGCAAAGTTTGAAAACCACGAACTGCTACTCTCTGAAGCAAACCGCTACATTGAAGAGCAAAACCAAGAGATTGCTAGGTTAAAGCGACAGGAGGAAATTGACAGAGAGCAATTGAACCGGTTGCAGGCCAAAGTGATATCTATGGAGGAGAGCTTGAAGAGGAGGAATACATCGCCGGAAGCTGGTATTCAAAGTTCCCCGAGAGATCAAGAACCAAATAGCTTTGACGGCATTCTTCTTTGGAGGATAAATAATGTCTCAGCGAAAATGTATGATTCATTTAACGAACCCGAAAAGTCCTTTTACAGCCCGCCTTTCTACTCAAGTCGTCATGGATACAAAATGTGCGCACGTATTTACCTGAATGGTGACGGGATGGGAAAGGGAACACACATTTCGCTGTTTTTCGTGCTCATGCGTAATGAGTATGATCCGTTACTTCGCTGGCCGTTCAGACAAAAGGTTACCTTTATGTTGTTGGATCAGAACAATGTGGAGCACGTGATTGATGCCTTTAGGCCGGATCCAAACAGTTCGTCCTTCCAAAAACCGAGGAGGGAGACGAACATCGCTAGCGGATGCCCCCTTTTCCTTCCGCTCGCAGATTTAAATAACCACGCTTATATCAAGGATGACACGATGTTTATAAAGGTCATCGTCGACTGCTCCGACTTGTAGAAGAAAGGAAAAAGAACTGAGCATGATAATCAGTTAGTGTGCTAAGAAATCAAATAGTTTAGTTGATGAGCGTCCAACAATTCCTTCGCAATTTAACAAGACTCGTTTCTTGCTAAATTGTCTATTATTGTCTACATTATCCACAGGCGGCCCAGACGTAGTATGTGTCACTGAATGAATATATTAATATTCACATGGACAAATAAATGCGATGAGTCGTTGAAACTCCCATGGACTAAAATAGTCTAAAAGTCAAAATATAACAAAACAAAGCTAAGATACCTTCAACTGAACGTATCCTTGTCTTTCCTGGCCGGTTTAAGTGGCATTTTGTTGAGTTTTGCAATTGTAGGTACTATCCACGAAAGAAGAATTAAAGGCTGGCTACAAAACAAACAGACCATCTCCACGCGACTTCACACGAAGCGCTATAAATTCGAGAATAATCGACGAATCCGCTCCAAATAACCATCGGCTAATCTGCAGGTAACGTGTGCTCCTGCTTCTGGCTCGCTTGCTCCACAACACCCATCGCAACTGCACAATAATTGCTCGCTCATCAACAACCACTGTTGACCTTTACGCTTCGATATGACCACAAACGACCAGGTTTAATCCGCGACGTGAATATTCAAGCTTAGCGACCGCGTTCGTGCAACAATGCAGCACTTGCTATGGGAGGGATGGTACTATTGCTTCTAGGTCAATCAATCGGGAAAATAATATTGAAGCCCTTGTAATTTTTAAAAAGATCCAATTTGCCCTAGGAGCACCGAACAGATACAAAATCTTACAGCGGAGCTAAAAAAAAAAATGAGCGGCAGTGGAAAAAGTGAACAAGAACATGTAGAACATTTTCTCCATAAAAAGTGAAAACCAGGAAGTTTTCTGGACGTTTCACGTTGCAGTCATGCAAATCAACGGCAAGGAAATGTACAAGAAAGTGTGCTGCAATTAGACCTATTGTTGTTTTTCACAGTTCTGGTCAAGGGCATCCAACTTTTAATTTTTCACATTTCACTCACCGGGTTAGGCTATTTTTCGTAGAGAGTAAAATGGAATCCTAAAATTTTCGGATTCAAAAATGTGATGAAAGAAGGTATCTGAAAAATTATCTCCTTCTTAATCCTTCGTAATCCTTCTTATCTTAATCCTTCTTATCCTTCGTAATACGTTAAATTGCATCTAAAATTTTAGGGAAAATAATTCTGAATTCCTCGTAATTTCGAAAAGACTCAATTTCCTCTAGAATGGCCGAACACTGAGATGCAAATTTTATAGCGCCACTTAGAATGCATTTCTATAGAGCTAAAAGTATTTATAACATAGCTAGAAAATTCGCCTAATCAAATTCACTAGCGCGTGCGTGCTTCATATTCCTATTGAGCACGCTGATGACGTCAATAAACTATTCGTAATTCCTCGAGTGGTTTTGAGCTTAGCAATCCTGAGTCTCCTGAGTGCATCCATAACTCAGCAATAGACAAGGAAGCGTTTACGATGTGTTTTATAAGGAAATTTAAGAGGAAACGTTTGAATTTGTTAACCGATAGTAAGGAAAAGAGGTGAGTGTTGTTGTTGTTGTTGTTGTCATCTCCGCGAGCTGTGCGGGCTATGGCGTGAGTTCATTCTTTGCAAACTTGTTTTCTCTCAATAACAATTTTTCGGTAAATTAATAGTTTTCCGGCACCTAAATATGGATTTTATAATCATTTTAGAGTACACTTTCTCTCAGTTTCAGGATAAAAACATAAGATTAACTGTGAGGAAAAAAATATATAGTCACGTAAACATTGACGCGTACTGCTTTGAGCGCGCCCTACAATAATAAAATTATAAGTTAACTGATGCATTGATCGCTTTGATGATGTTATAAAACAATTAGTTCATGCTGCAGCTGTGCGTATGTCGAGTTATTGAGCACTTGGGAAGTTTGGAGAGCACTCAAGAGGCTAGAGTTGCACTCGGCTGCGCCTCGTGCAACTCTTACGCCTCTTTCGTGCTCTCCAAACTTCCCGCGTGCTCAATATCTCGACATACGCACGCTGACGCATGAACTAATTGTTAATTTATGAATAGCTACAAAAGTGTTTTCAATAGAAAGTATTTGAGGAAACAGTCGTTGGGTGGCCCTGTCTCGTTGCCTTCTCCGCTTAGCATTACACGATATATTTTATATTTAGCATGAGCAAACTATAAATCATTAGCTTCGCTTTTAGCCCTCCTGACTAAATTTATGTAAGCGCTGTTTAGAATGCATTTTTCGATCAAAATTACTCTGGACAGCCTTAAATGTGTTTTCAATGCATTTAGGGGGAAATCATCGTTGGGCGCCCCTGAGTTTTGAGAATAATAATAATAATAAAAGATATCGCGCACATAAATTTTACTTTACGATATCTTCAGCTGTATCTTCTATTCAGCTGTATAGCGGGGGCCAGATTTTGCCTTTTTCCTGGGCGGAAAATTCTCGTCCTCCTTCACCAGTTTGGACAACATATTATAGAGTAAGACGTTGTTAATCTAAGCAAATAAGTCTGGTAGAGTCAAGAACCTATGCAAGCGGCTGGACGAACAATGTGACAGCAGCTGAGACAGCGAACGTTAGATGAATTCGAACTTGAAAACCAGGGCTGCCCTGTTGAAAACTTACGGACGGTCCCTCGATCGCCTTTTGTTTTCTGGTCAAAACTAACGCAGCGAACCTTCGGTCAGCCGATTGACCTGGAAGCAATAGTACCATCCCTCCCATAGCAAGTGCTGCATTGTTGCACGAACGCGGTCGCTAAGCTTGAATATTCACGTCGCGTATTAAACCTGGTCGTTTGCGGTCATATCGAAGCGTAAAGGTCAACAGTGGTTGTTGATGAGCGAGCAATTATTGTGCAGTTGCGATGGGTGTTGTGGAGCAAGCGAGCCAGAAGCAGGAGCACACGTTACTTGCAGATTAGCCGATGGTTATTTGGAGCGGATTCGTCGATTATTCTCGAACTTATAGCGCTTCGTGTGAAGTCGCGTGGAGATGGTCTGTTTGTTTTGTAGCCAGCCTTTAATTCTTCTTTCGTGGATAGTACCTACAATTGCAAAACTCAACAAAATGCCACTTAAACCGGCCAGGAAAGACAAGGATACGTTCAGTTGAAGGTATCTTAGCTTTGTTTTGTTATATTTTGACTCTTAGACTATTTTAGTCCATGGGAGTTTCGACGACTCATCCCATTAATTTGTGCATGTGAATATTAATATATTCATTCAGTGACACATACTACGTCTGGGCCGCCTGTGCATTATCCGAAACTGCGTTCCAGTTTCGTGGCGTGATATTAATTAAGCAGTTTAGGCCATATTTAGTGCTATTACCTTAGGTAGAAACAATATACCCCGCCAACTGGATCGTACGGTTTTTTCATTGCTGTTATGTAAAATAGACATGTGTAAATTAATCTGAGAGCGCGCTCGTTCACTGATTCTCTAACTTGCTAGTGTTTCTGGCTCAACAATGGAACCAGACTTGGCTGCATTAAAAAAGGTGGACTTGTCAGTCGTAGAGGTAATTAAGAAAAATATTCACTTTTCTCTTACCTTACAAAAAATATCGGGAACGTGGACATCTAATTTGAGCCTATTACCTAGTGTAACACCTAAGAACTTGATGTCTCAGCTTAAATGGGGACCAATTTATCCGCACATTTAATTGCTTATATGATGTGAGTGTTTCTCAGCATTAGAGCTCTGTTCTTCTCATTCCCCATAAATCTCCTCCTCGAAAGCGTGGGAATTAGGACATGCACCGCTCGATAGCAAAGCTTGGATCATTCATTTTTTAATAACTTTTTTGCTTAAATGACAGGGGTCCAAGGATAGACCTCTACTTAAAAACTGCGAAGCTGATCGTGCTTCGTAAGGGTTAACTTTGCAAGTCATAAACGTGAAAACAAGACACGTTCTATCGCGGTGTCGTATGCATGTCTTGAAAAGTTAATTCAGTTTTACGTAGTACGATCAGCTTTGCATATTTATGTTTACTTTTTAATTCTTTTGCTGATCCGATGTCCTGTAGACCCTACGTCCTGCAGCATATTCGTTTGCGATAATTTGCTGTTAATGTTTAGTTGAAAAGGTTTCACCCAACTTCACTCGTTCGGAATGTTAGCAGGAGTTCAGAGGTAGACAAGCTCGGAAATGTAAAATAATAATAATAATAATAATAATAATAATAATAATAAAATATATATTACTGTCAGTCCTGCTTTTGCTTATGATGCTTGTTACGACCACTTTTTGACTCCAGCACCACCTAACAACGAAAAGACATTTAACTTAAGCGTCGTAAATGATGCCTTTAAATGATGCCTTTAAAATGTTTTCCTATTTCCAGCCGTTTCTAAAACAATTTTTTCCCGGTACGAATATTTATATTTCGAAGGTTATAGAACATTTCTGATGCTCATCGAGCTTGACCTCCCTGATATCCGATTGTTTTCAGTTTCGTAGTGTTTTCAGAAGTATCACTGATCCTCTTCAAATCAATTCTTCAGGAAACTGCAATTAACTTTTCAGATTGAAATAGTACCAGGAGACGACAGCACTTAGTTGCGGCTGTGTTATCTAAATTCTGGGATTTGTTGAGAATCATGCCTTAATCAGTTTCTTGAGTCACGTTCCTTTGAGATGATCCAGATCAGGATGAGTGATCCGATGAATCCACTCTGGACAATGACTCATCGGTTCATTTGATCTCACTGATACTGATCCAGATCATCCCAAAGAAACGCCGAGTACCACTGCTAAAAGACCACGTCGACTTTTGACGCACCCGCGCGCTTACCGCGACTGTGAACATCAATGCACATTATCAGGAAACTATGGTTAAAAGTTAGCTATAGGTAATTAGAGATCACCTCTCTAACAAGTCAAAATTGTTTGATCTATGCTTCGCAAACCGTCGAATGATTCTTTTCTGATATCTCTTTAAGTCGACCTTACCAGTGATGCGTTTGAACCAGCTGACTTAGCGAACGTTCAGATAGGAGTAATTGGAATTATCGAAGTATCGTAGCTGATCAGGGCAGAGCTAGTTAACATCAGTTGTGTCCGACACAAATCACCATATTTGTCGTGGTTCTTAACTGTACTATGAGCATGTTTCTAGTTGTGCTATTAATAACCGCAGAGAGTAAAATCTTACTTGTCCATGG